GCTTTATTTGCCCGACTTTTCAGATTCCTGCTCAATTCCATCATCGAGCAGGAATGCGAAACGTCATGTGAATAAAACTTTCATTCCTGGCAGAAGGCAGTACCGACAAAGACATGGGGATTTAAATTTTACAAAACGCAATTTTACAAGCATATGTCTGTCTTTGGTAAATTGTCTTCAGGACTGTACATTTTAAATAAAGAATCAAAAGATACAAAAAATAGAGAGTTATGCTGTAGCTCGGGTCTGGTGAGGGGGCGGTGTGAAACACCCAAATTCTAATCAGCGCCAGGTAAAAGTTGGACCCCGGGAAAGGTAATCGTGTACAGGTGGTTAACTGGGTGGCTTTGAACCATGGTAATTATGGGACCTATATAAAGTCCTTTTGTGCGCATTGGACTGGTTCGCGTAGCCTGATTGCAGCCTCCTCTGCCGTAGCTAGCAACCGCTGCCGAAGTAATTTTGGGTAGATAAATATCATAATTATGATCATTATAATTATCTCCTTACCCGTATCATTTGATTCGTTATTTCAATAGCCATAAAAATATACCAGTTTTAAGATAATTTATCGAAAGCAGACATATGCTCGTTAATTGCTATGTTTTTATGCACAGTTAAAGAGCAAAGATATCATCGATCAGTTATACTACTGTTTTTGAAACTACGACAACATTTTTGAGTTCGGAGTGCGTCATTTTGACACTCAAATTTTAAGGTTAAAGCAAAAGTTAAGAAGAGTAAGCCATTATCTTACACCACAGCGTAAATAACAACTTTTCTCAGCCCAAAGATGTCCCGCTGCCAGACATACTTGCTGATACCCTAATCCAATTCGCAAAGTATCTGACTCGATAGGCAAGAGGCTGCCTTCCTCTAAAGCGGACGCATATCCGATCGGCATATAAACGTGTTTCTAGTGAGGCAGACTTTCTCCGCGGCTGCGTCATTCACAGTAGTCTTGCGGCTGGATAAAGTTAAAATGACCAAGGTTTGGTGCATGCGGAATGACTGACAATGCTAAAAATCGTCGACACTTGTCACACACGACGTTTCCTCCACTTCAGGTGTTTAAGGGAGGCCGGCATCCCAAATAAATTTAAATGCCAATGAAGTAACTAGCGAAAGGAATCACTGTAACCTATCCTTCATCCCTCAGCAAAACAGAGTCGTTGTGTTGGTTGGCCACATTGCAAACCACGGCTCCTAGCGCGTCAGGTTTATTAAGATTGGACCCAATCTCGCCAACCTCTTTCATTCTCTAATCTGCCCTTTGAGCATTTTAATCAACTGAGGATGAATTTTGACGCTTTTATCTAACCTGACATGAGGGCCAACGTCTATAAGTCGTCACTCGCAAGTACGACAATACGTACGAATGTACGTGGACTCACCGGTGCCCAGTGTACGCCTGTCGGTATGGACCTCTTCTGGTTTCGATCGCATGCGTCGTGCCACTTATCCATAATGTATTGCCATAAACATACCTAACTTCCAATGCTTTCTGTGGATTTTCGTTTATAGTTGGTGAATTAAAGTCCTAAGTAATCAGATCGAAGCATCTCAAACGTTGTTAATTGTACCAATTAATTCAACACTGTTCAGAAAAAGCTTTCTCTCAGGGGAGTCCATTTCTAAGAAATGTAGTCATTATGCGAAGAAATAACGTTTACTGAAAATCGGCGATTAACCGTGTTAATAACTGCCCCGGGCTTATTTTGCATATCTATCTCTTTTCATTTGTGGGTGGCAATCAGTTAAGTCGGATCTACTGATGTAAACGACCATAACCAACGTTTAAAATGATTTATCAAAAAATTAGATCATTTGAGGCAAAACTCAAATGCATAGATTATTTGTCTGCTCCATTTCTAAAGAATCCAGTGGCTTTTTGAGGTTCAAACGTTAGACAGGGGGAGCGGGTCTTCTGTGTAGCCAATTTTTAATCAAGTGATCGACGAGAACTTAGCCAGGGGCCGTGAGTCGCATCACAATTAGACCAGGTTTCCCACCCAACCTAGTGCAGGATACGTCATCCGCAAATTTTGATGCAGTAAGTTGGCTGACCTAGCAGGATTTTAAAAGCAATCAATTTAGAATTCACCAGATGATTGTTGGGCTGATTTACTTCATACTTGTTTTTTCCGGGTTGGCTTAATTTATCTGAGCCAGTTACAAAAACCTCGGTGGCCTTATTGCTGTTCGGGCCCACCACAGCACGGACGTGACATTTGCGCTGCCAACGCTTGAATGACAGACTGATAGTTTTGTGGTGGATTCTATGTTCATTACCTAGAACATCCCATTGCGACAGTGGGTTGAATATATCTGATTTGGTGAATTCCATACTTTGATGCAGAACGAAAGGTTACGTGCAGCCAACTGTGATTAAATTCACGACTCCCGGTCAAGACTTCGTAATTCGAGTGGTCATTATGTTGGCTGCAAAACAGGCCTCGCACTTGCTGTCCTAATTCAGGAGCAAGCCATGGCCACCGTTTACGGCTTGTTCAAACAAACTAAGCAAACCTGCAAAGAAGACAATACAAGAAGTTTGCTGATGAAATGCGTTTTCGACTCGAGAAGACTGCTCTAGTACGGCTGTAAAATTAGCTACCCTACTGCATAATTCCAAGGTAGTTCAGGTACGTCAGGATTACGATTTTTAAACGAAGTTCTTCCTGGCCGCCTGTAAATCCGGCGTTCTTCGAAAATGATACTAGTTTAGCGTAACCTTTTCCACTGATTTTCGATATCCCTATAAATACAAGTGTTTTTTACAGAAAACCATAAAAATACTTATGTTTTCACCAAATGTGACAGAGAATTATGTTTTGTTTGAATTTATACCCGAAGAAAAAGAATAATTCGGTTTTCAAAACTTTCCGGATTTCTAAACAATTTTAAAGCCGACCCACTGTTACAATGGCATTCAGAGTTTTCAAGCTAAAAGCTATATAGTTTCCGCATATGGAAAATTCTATATTTATGTAAACTATTAAAACAGGATATGGAGTTCATGGAGTTTAGCCGTAGATTTAGGTAATATTGTAAACTTTATAAAAGATATCTGTAAATTCAGAAATACGACGTCTTATGAATGAACATTTCAATGTTTTAAAACTCTCATAGTCGGTAACTTTTTGAAATCGAATTATATTTTTCCTTCAGGTATAAATTTAATCAAAACATTATTTTTTACTGAACGATTACAGAAAAAATATCTTTAAATGCGTTTTCCTTGAAGTATATCTAGTCTTATAAAGGCGTAGGAAATCATTCAGAAAAATTCATGCTGACTAGGTAGTCAATTCTAAGCGCGTAATTTTGCAAACGGCCGGAAACAAGGCTTAGGCAACAGCCGGTACTCTGAAGTAACTGAATCATCTTTGGATGCTGCCGCGCGATGATTAATATTGCAGCCCTACTTAAGCAGTCCTTTTGGGTCGTAAACTGACTTCAGAACTATGGTTAACATTTTGGGATTTAGCAAATCTATCGTATTTATTAAATAGATTTTTTATCAAGCGTTGTTTTTACACAAACGACAATTTGTAAACGGGTGTAATTTTATGTCCTGTCAAGCAGTGATAACGTCTACAGGCAAAAGTGTTGCTTACAACACCTGCAATTTCTGAGTACAGACGAATCACCTGTAAGTGCCTACGAAAAAATCTACCTACAGACATAATTTTAAACTCTCTGGCGTATACTTTGTTGGGGTCTAGTAGTTGTTAGTGTACAATCAAGACAGGGCGGGCACAACATTCTACCCTTATTAAGATATTATATATATCTTAATAAGTGTAGAATGTTCTAATATTATATGTATTAGAACAGAGCCGGAATGTAAGAAACGACAGTGCTAATTGTTCCAACAATGGGAGAAAGCTAACAACTGGAAAACGACCACTATCAGAAAGTTACGGATGCCGGAAGACCTTTCAACTTTTCCTTGAATTCGGCCTGCAAAATATAAGGCAAATAGGCATTTCTCAAGTAAATAGTCTAATAAATTATATATGAAATGCTAACTTATTAGAAACGTACTCTATTTTGCTAAACGTATATTTATCACCGGCCCTTGTTATGAAATCAAATTTTGTTTGACAATCAATTTTGATTTTTCAATGTTTTGGTGCATAGGAGCCGAACCACCGTCAGAGTAAAAGGATGTCCGGGAGCCTTCTTTATAAGTAAAGGCACGTAATGTCTGTCTGTTTTGCAGATTTAGGCGCAAGCTATAAATCCTCCGTTTTGCGCAGCAAATTAAAAAGACTGCATGGAAATCCCTGTCATTTTAAAGACGACAGGCGATTTAGCGAAGCCCGCCACCATCGGAATGCAAACGGCTAGGTTTACGACAAAGCATTCCGCAGATGCGCAATATACATCGTCATGGTTGCATCTGTTATGTATATTCCCATTTTCTTATCCATGGTATATCATTTGGCTTGTTAAACTATTCATATTTTACACCTGCAACGTCCATATCCTTAAAATCACGGAATATGTAAGTTAACCTGATAAGAAATATCGCCATGAAATTCTAGCATCAGGGTTTTGGATCAGACATTCAGATACCCATCAGCTAGAAGGAAACCATATAACATTCATATCCGACCCTCAAAAGAATAAATACATCGCAAATTGTCAAAAATTTGTTTAAACAATATTATGTTTGTGTTGTCTTGAATAGTTGATTATTCCCTCGGACAGATATTACTCACTTCTGCATAGTATTTCGAATTTGACTTAATCTTTTGATTTTACGACATGTTCACCTTTCTCCAGAATGCTACAAATTTCAGCCAGCCTATTATTACCCCGACTGCTTCTTTTGCGTTTTAATTTAGTTCAGTTGGGATTGGTAACTAATTTTGTCCTTGAAATCACAAATTTCGATCGGCGTTAGAGTAGTTAGAGATGTTTCGTGGACTTATGTTTATTTTATTAATTAGGTCGCTCTCCATAGGCTGCATTTGCCGATACAGCGTAAGTCATAGACGCAGATGAAGGTTCTCTAGTCGCGGTGCGATTTGCTCGCTGATAACCGATCTGAACAGTGCATCGTAGATGTGAGGTGTTATTGCGGGCAGGCGGAAACAACAGAAGTTAGCAGGCGAGTTCCAGGAAGCAGTTTGAAAGAAGAAGAAGAAGAAGAAGAAGAAGAAGAAGAAGAAGAAGAAGAAGGAGAAGCTGTCACGAGAACAGGAAGTGTGCAGACGAAGTTTTAGATTCTCGCTCGAACCCATCATCAAAGATATTCGCAGATAGGGGCATGGAAGGCATAAAGACTGCAGTATTTGCAGTATTTAGCTGATGTGGGGCCACATGCATATTGCAATTAACAGTTGTCGCAAAAATTGCGGGGGGTAGTAATTAATGTGACGTAGGCATGCCAGTCCGCATCTCAGTCATTAATTGCCGCAATTTCATCACCCCTAGCGGGCGCTGGCGTGATGACGTCTACTGGATCTGGTGTAGTCGTGGACAGAGCAAATACGGTGGAGAAAGTGGAAAACCACTCTTGACGCGAATGACTGAGCACGCAGCAGCGGTGAGAAGGAGAGACCCTGGCTCCCAGGTGGAGGCCCACTCTACGGAACTCGCTATATTACCGGGTTTCAATAGGCGAAAATCCCCATAACCACAATCGCTGCGAGGTGCATAAATGATGGTTCTCAGGCTAACATTCTACCAAAAGGCGTAATTGCTTCTCGGTGTCATCTTCACTGTTCAGACTTTCCTTGGGTAGGGAGTCAGTCACGTAAAGAAGGGTTAGGCGAGGAACAATTCCGATGACAACGGGCCAAATTGCCGAGGAATCACCACGTCAATTTTCAACAAAAAAGGTAAACATTGCGGCACCTAATGATTCGTACGCGGCCTGACGAGTAATCATCGCATCATTAACGACCCCCAACGTTGATTTCGATAACTGTTAGTTATAGAATTCATGCCGGCCCAAGGCAGCTATCTAATACAAATACGGCAACCTTTGTACCCTCCCTACCCTTATTTGCGACTGTCTCTGATGATGAGTTTGAGTGAGGATCCTAAATGTCAGGCCAATAAACTTCTGGTTCCAATGATCGCATAGTCTTCTTCTGATGCGGAAACTATGTCAACATTGTCAGTGGTGGTGGTGGTGGTGGTAGCAATGGTATTTGTAGAACCAGTAGCAGAAAAAGTAGTAGTTCATTGTCGTAGGAGTGGGCATGTTTGTCGTTTGTCCCCACACAAAGTCGCCCGTTACAATCGGGCGATGTGTCTTTTCACAGAAAGCCGGGGCTGAGACGCATGTTGCAACGCAACGAAGCGGAAAGAAGTGTATCAATATTATTGATAGTGATGTTTACGCTATGGGGCGTGAGGGTTGCATTGAGACTTTTTCCTTGACTAATGGTCGGGAAGTGTCCACCAAGCCCAGTGAGCTTTTGGCATGTCTTTTTGCGGTGTGGATAATTTGGAAGAAGGGAGAGAGAGGAATGCGCTTTAATTTGAAATCATATGTTCAAAATTTTCAGCAAAAAGATGGCTCCATTCACTATGGGCAGTAAATAAGTTAATAGATTATTCAAGAGTCAACGCTTAACACAAAGAAACGATTATTATGGGGATAGTTCCAGTCTTAGCTTTTGTATTTCTGTCTATTCACACGTAAGATAGCGCGCTAGGAATGGCAATACAGAAGCTCCATAAGCCGATGTGCGACAGGATATAAGACGGAAGTTGCGGCGCATCAGGCGGGAAGACTTGGCAGACATAAGATCGGAATGTAGGGGATGGACAACGTCATCTAGAATTCGACCAGCAAATTGCTTGACCGCATTGAAGTGTCGTTGTAAGATTGTGTCAACTAAAAAATATAAGAAACGCCAGCAGCAGAAGAGAGCATGCGGAAGATTCGTTTCAAAATTAAAAGATCCTTTTTTAACAAAGCCGGAAAAATGACAGGAGAACAGTATAGGATAAGAGGAAGAATGCAGGCGTCAATGAATCGCCAGATTAAGGGTTGAGGCGTGTGGTAGGAACGCAAACGACCAATGTAGTAAAGAAGTTTACGAACTTTAATAAATAGGGACTCAATATGGAGGGAAAAAGAAAGATTTGAGGACAAAGTAACGCCGAGATACCTGAAAGAGGATACTTCGTTGGGAATAATGTCAGAGAAATCAGGGGTAGGAGAGGGCCGCAGTCGAAAAAAAAACAGAACGGATTTTTGGTTGTTAATTAGGCGACCATTTTCCTCCGACGACGCTAGGACATGGTTTAGGCCATCCTTTAGACACCGGAGGTGTGTCTAGCTTTTGAGAGAGTGTCTAACAACCACATCGTCAGCATACTTGACCAGAAGACAGTCATTAGGGGACCTGAGATCATCAGTGTGGAGGGAGAAAAGGTGAGGGGATAGAATGGAACCTTGAAGAACACCGCAGTCATTGGGAAAGGTCGAAGATTTCCGCTTGCCAGATTGGACAAATTGGGTGCGGAAGGTAAAATAATCGCTCAGCCAAGAGACGACCCAGCCTGGAAAGCCACATGCGGAGGTTTTGGAAAGGAGAAGAGGGCGCGGGACGGTATTGAAGGCGGAGGAGTAATCAAGAAAAGCGCACGCATACTCGCGGCAACCTTTGTCTAATGCTTTCAGAGCAGAGTGGACCAAAAGAGCGACAGCATCTAAAGTACTCCGTTTAGCTTTGTATGCGAATTGTAAGGGGTCGGCAAAACTGGAAGAAAAAGGCTTTAAGATATCTAGGTCAACTCTTTCAGCAAGCTTTAATATTGCGGAGGAACAGGCAATTGGGCGAAAAGATTTAGGACCAAAGTTAGCAGGCTTTTTAGGGATGGGAGTGATTCTCACTGTACGCCAGGCGTCGGAAATCTTGGACTACGTGAAAAACATATTGATTAAGTGTGTTAAAATAGGGGCTATCTGAGAACTGCAAGATTTAAGAAGAAAAGGCGAGACACCATCCGGTCCGGCAGCTGTTGATCCACGGACCTTTTTAAGGTGTTTCTCTACTGTTGCCAAACACACGAGTTGGAATGTACTCGGTGATAGGGGAATGTCTTCTCAGGGAAGATGGGAGTCGTTGTGACTAAATATAAAATTGTTATTTAGGGAGTCTAAATCTGCATCCACATGCACCAGCGTGTTGCGATGGCCAGTGAGACGCTTAAGATTTTTCCAAATCTCAGCTGAGGAAGGGGGGAAAGGAGGGGAGTAAGAAGCGGAAAAACGTTGGCTGACAAACAGGCTACTTAGCCTGTCAATCTCTGTTTTTATTAAGACGGTAACGTCCTTAAGGTTATCACGTAAGCCCAGCTTGTAAAGGAGTTCCTTTTTACGTCTTAACGATTTCAGATAGGGGGAAGAAATTCTATCCGGTCGTACCATAACAGTATCAAAAGGGCAGCAAATATCGAAAATTTCATTTTAAAACGCAGTCAGGTTGGAAGAACAGGATTCAACATTAGAATGTTCAACGAAAGTGGGGATAGTAAGAGAAATGCAAGTCTGAAGCATGAGAATGTTTTGGGCGGACGTGTTGCGAACCTTAACCTTTCTCTCAGGCTTGGCAAGCAGTGCACGTTTTGAAGTGGAATATATTTTTGGAAGACACAATAAAGCGGAATGGTCAGAACCCGAAAATGGAGCCCTGTTTTTTACGCAAAAAAGCTTGCTGTGTTTGGTCAGAATATGATCAAGAGGGTCAGCTGCGCGAGTATTAAAGGAGACAAGATCATCGAAGCCTAAAAGTGTAAGGGGGCGTAAATTCACGCGATTAAAATCACCGCATAAGAGAGAAAGATAGTCGCAGGATAATATAGCAAGTTTTTGTGAGAGGAAGTCGAAAAAACGGGTTAATGCGCCTTCACAGGAAGAGGGGGGAATGTAAATACTAACAAATATGATGCCTTCAAAATTACTTAACAAACGGGGCTTACATAAAACAGCGATAACATCTATCATATCATCAGAGTAAGAAAAAAGGGACTTACAGTCTCTACACCAATTTTGATTAACGAAAATGGCAACGCCTCCACCTCTGCCACAAGATAAAGATTTTCTATTTGTTCGAAAGCAGTAGAAGGATGGGGGAGTAATAAGTTGCGAATCAATATCACTATTTAGCCACGTCTCTTGGAGGCAGACAACTTCAGTTTTGCTGCGTTCTTTTTTCGACAAAAATAGCTCCAAATCATGGGCTTTGTTGAAAATAGAACGAAAGTTTGTCGACAAGAAGGCAGGAATTGACAATGTGTGATTTGGCTGACGTTTGAATGCGAATTGCCAGCCACAACGGTGTTTTCTCCGATGCGTAGGCCGTTGTTGACGAATATTTGATAAATTCAACACAGAACGATCGCAGATACGACATATTGGCCGTAAAGTACAACAGCTTGCATCATGGTCGTTCGTAAGTGAAATTGAGAATTTAATTCCGTTCAAAAGGATGCTAGCGTACTGTAGAGACGACCTCATAATCTTAGCTCAGCCAAACTAATGATGCAAAACAGTTCAATATATCGAAGAGAAAAAGGGACAATAATGTGCAATTAGTAAAAATCCACACGTGAATGGAGAACTACAAAAATGGCGGCTCAAATTCAAAAGCCCGCCGAAGAAGATGGAAATTTGCGATATTGGTTTACAGCATTGAAGGCTTAAGCATATCCGCTATGCATTCGTCCCCGTATTCGATTCACACTTAAGATCACTGCCTTATCTCTCACAGTACTGCACCAGATTTGCCGATCGTGAATGAGGTCTACTCGAGTATCTGATTAATTTGTAATTTGTCTGTTTGCCGCAATGATAGCCGCGGTTCTAGCTAAAGGCCCGGATACATGCTTTGCCAATAATATGGCCCTCAGGTCATAAATGCAAGGGGTTCCCCTCATCGGTGGCCTTCCCGCCACCATTCATCGTGTGTTTTGTAGAAAATATTCCAGTTTTGAGACCTTGGCTTTTAGTTTCTTAAAAAAATAAACAGAAATATGCAATAAAGACATAGTCTGAAAGTTGGTATGAGTATGTAAGCCATATTCTATTCTTTATAAGTGCCTTAATGAGGTTTTTATGGTATCCTTATATCAACGTTCATGTCCACCTTGTCTGCGATTCCCCGTAACGATGATACCGCAGAATACTCACTTGGGTTTACGCTTATCACTTACTCTTCATCGCAGTTTTATCTGCCCTAGCAGGGCGTGGATACTGGGCACTTTCTCTCCGGGGACCTCG